TAGTTTTAAATAAAAACAATAACCAGGACCGTATTTAGAATTAATCATATTAAAACATAATTAAAAATTTTTTTTAAAAAGAAAAAATACCCGAAAGGCATTTTAAATAATAATAATAATAATAATAATAATAATAATAATAATAATAATAATAATAATAAATTTTTTTTTTTTGAAAGTTTAACGAAATTTTTTTTTTTTTTACCCCGTGAAAAACTCAACAAACAACAACAACAATCGGATGTTGAGAAGTTGTTATAATATCGAATTTTTACACGACGCCCCCCACTCCCAGCCCCCCGGTTACCCTCATCATCGAGGGGAAATTCGAAAGGATCGAAAATGTAAAATTTCCAGAAAGTGTTGTAATGAGGGTGAGCACGCACTCAACCTCGCAAAAGGAAAAAAAAGGAGAAAAAAAACGACAAAAAGAAAATAAAAAAATTTTTCCTTTTTTCTTTCTTTTCCTTTGCCCACATTTTTTAATTTTAATTAATTAATTAATTTTTTTTTTATATTTTAATATTTTTTTTATTATTAATTAATTAATTAAAATTAACAAAATAATAATAATGATAATAGTATTTTTCCTTTGACATTATTTTCCTTTGATATTATCAAAATAAAAATGAATAATCATGATAATGATAATAACGGAAAAGGAAATATTATATACATACATTGATATTTTTTTCCTTTTTCTAAAAACCTATCTATCTCTCTCTCTCTCTTTCGTACGTGTTTTACGATATGAGACAAAAAAATAAAAAACGTTTCGTGATCTTTTTTTTCGGGCGGGGTGAAGGGAAAAAGGTGAGGGGAAGAGAGGGCGGGAAAGAGAGAGACAGAGAGAAATAGAGGAAAAACCTTTTGATTCCTTTTAATTTATTCCTTTTATTAATATTTTTGATTAATATTGTCGTGTAATTTTGTATCACATTCGTATCAAACTTTTCACCGATTTGTGACGTCACGAAATTTCGAATTGAAAACAAAAAAAAAACATCAAAATTAATTTTTTCTTTTTTGTAATGAATACTAAAAAAAAAATGCGAACGAAATGTGAATGAATGAAATCAAAAAAAAGGGAAAGAGAGGGAGAGAGAGGAAACGAAAGGGAGAGGGAGGGAGATAGGGAGGGAATAATATATACCAGAGAGGTGGCTTTTAAATTTATATATGTATATATATTCAAAAAAAAAATGAATCAAAAGCTTTTTTTTTTATACCAAAAAAGGGTTTTTTAAGTAAAAAGTTTAAAATGTAACGAATCCTGTCGATTGAAATGATAATAATAATAATAATAATAATAATAATAATAATAATAATAATAATAAATTTGCAAAGGTTTAGAACATATTTAAAAAAAAGGTAAAAGAAAGGGGTAAAAAAAATGAAAACGAATTTTTTTTTTTTTCATCAACTCAATAACCGTACATAACAAACAAACTGGTAGAATTCATATAAAACAAACAAAACAAACAACCGAACAACCAACTTATCGTACGCATACAATAATAAAAAATTTAATAAAATTCGTTTTCTCCGTCCTCCCTCCTTCCCATCCCCAAAAATTTTATATATTTTCGAATCCTCCCTACATATCCCCCATTTATCACTTCATTAACCTTTTTATAATTATTATTATTATTTTCTATTAAAACCTTTTATCTAATCCATTATTTTACATGAATTAAATAAAAACAAACAAACAAACGGAAAAAAAAACCTTTAAAACCTTAAAAATAACTCAAGGCCGCGCACACCCACGCAACCATTTATTATTTTCCTTGTAATAGTTTCCTTTTTCATCGGGGAAAAAAAATATTTAAAAAATTTTTTATTTATCAATTTTTTCCCCGATCCCCCTCTCCTCCCCTCCCATCCGCTTCCCTCTCCCTCCCCAATTATTTAATACGTTTAAATTTAAAAAAAAAAAACACAAAAATTTATTAATTTTTCCCTTTTCACATGTTTACCTTATACAATTACAGATCGCATGATTTAAAAGAATTTGCTTCTTTTTTTTATTTGTAAATTTCATAGAGTAAATAAACGTTTTTAAATTGTAATCTGATTGAAATCTTCGAATAAATAAATCAATTTAAAAAAAAAATTATCCACCCACGAATCATTTAATAATAATAAATTTTCCTTTTAACAAAAAAAAATATAAATAATTAATCCGAAAATCTTTCATTTTACTACAAAAAAAAAAATCGTTTCCCAATAATAATAATAATAATAATAATAATAATAATAATAATAATAATAATAATAATTTTTAACACTGTCACGTTCGATTCATCCCTTCATTTTCCCCAACACCGACAACAACAATAACAAATTTACGATTATTATTTGCATTTAGTCAATTTACACGACAAAATAACAGTGATGACGTCACCGTTTCCCTCTCCCACTTTTTTTTTTTTTTTTTCAATTTATAAAAAATAAAATTGGCGCCAAAAAAAAAATTATTTTAAATCACGTATTTTAAAATTTAAACCGTTAAATAAAAAATAACTTTAATCGTTTTTATTGCTTTCCAAAAAAAAAAAAAAAAAATTTTATGACCGATAATAATAATGATAATAATGATGATGATTATCGTCATTTTTATTATCATTATTATTATTTCCCATCGGATACATTAAAGAAAAATGTTATCATCTTTTTTAAAAAATAATTTCGAAGAAAACCCATAAAAACATTAAATATTTAATAATTTTCTGTTTTTTTTTTTTTTTTTTTTTTTGACAATTTGGCGACGACTCCTGTGCGACGATTTTATATAAAATATATTATTTTTAAAACCAACATTAACAAAACTATTATTTCAAATATTATTACTAGTCTTAAACACGACAAGGCTATTATTTGTCAGGGTTTTTAAGCATTTATTCCAGGTTTCTACCCGTCGATTCCTTAGGGATAAATGCTCTGGTGCTATTTATAGAGTATTTACCGAAGAATGTGGGCCGTTCTTACTTTGTCTTGTTCTCATTTTGCTCTTTTTACTTATATAAATTTATCAATTCATTCACCTTTTCCACAAAACCTATTCTAATTCAGTACTTAGAGTTCACTATTATAAAATTTTTTAATTAAACTTATCACTTATGTCTCTTACTCTTATAAAAGTCAATTTGCTGTAAATCATGTAAAATATGCTGCAATAAGGCAGAAACAATTTAATAAAAGGTTAAATATTATACAATTAGAACACTAGTCATTAGACAACTGGAGTACAGAAAACCCAATTGATATATTAAATCAGGTATTACCACCAATGTATTTTTATTAAACTATTTTGTTAAACTATCCCTATTTTCAATGAGTATGATAGAGATATTTGGCTAGACTACTTAGCTATAATATGCAACTAAACTTTAACTCGAGATATGCAAAGTTTGTTTAAAATGTCCTTCAACAAATGCATAATGCTTTTTTTACATTAGAATCAAGTACTAAAAGGCTACTTATTTATAACTTAATTAATTGATCTTGAATCAGGCAATATTACACTATCAAAATTATAAACTAAGCAGTAACAAAACAAACTAATTTAAGAGTAAAATAAATTACACACACTACACTTAACTGTATGCACACAACATACAAATTACAATTTTGTACTATTATTAAGTACTATATAGAAAAAGTTGATCTTTCCTAGTGTTAACGTAGATCAAAATGGAGATTTGCATAAGATATGTGGCAAAATATTCTGTATTAAAACAATCAGCAGATTAACACAAGAGTACAGAGGTGTTATATCCAGCTATACATTACATTAAACCAATAAATATCGAGTATTTATATTGAACTACCTCTATTCTATTTGGTATGACAATGATATTTAACTCGTATAAGTAATTCAAGAGATGTTAGAAATTTAATAAATGAAGTCTGGTTAAAGAAAAATCTGTTGTACCCTTCCACACTAATATCACTTAATATAAAGGCTACTACTATTCTTTCCTAATTTGATTCAGATTTAAGAAAGGTATTAGTTACACTATGCTATTATTAATAAGCTATGTTACAATGAATTAAGTTAGCTTAAGACAAGGCTAATATAACATACAATCACAAGTGAACACTTAACAATAGGGGTATAACCCTGAAAATCATGTATCAACCTATATTAAACTATTTTAATTCTTATTTTGTTAAATAAGATAAAAATATAATTAGTCAAATAACTTATAATTAACCAAAAAAAAATATAAAAGAAAATTTTTTTTTGGTTATGTGTTCAATTCCTTTGTTAGCCTAACGTTTTTTCAAGCGAAATTTAAGTCTTAAAATGAGGTACTTATCCGTTTAACTCATATGTACTAAGGTGCCTTCTAAGGTTTTTCATTGCCCGCGCTTTCTTTTGTCACATGAAACCGTTGATTACTTGCAAATTTAAAATTGAAATAACATAATTATTACTAAATAATTTAAAAAACTAATTATATCACTGTAAACTAGACTAAATTACAAAACTTTTGATATGTAACTTATAAATAAACTCTAAAAAAAAACTTATTAAAATTAATTAAATAAAACGATATGACATAAACGCTTGTCAACCGCGGAACACCAGCGCACTCTTCCGTATTATTACTATTATTATTATTATTATTAATATTGCTTAAAAAAAAAAAGAAGAAAAAAAAAGATTGTAAAATGATTTGCAAAACAAAATTTTTTTCTTTTTTTTCACTACAATTTTATTTATTATTATCATTATTATTATTATTATTATCATCATATATTATTATATAATTATTATCATTATCTTTTATTTTTTTGTGTTTTATTTTATTTTGTTTTTTTTTTTTTTTTTTTTTTTTTGTTGCTTTTTACAAAATACAGTCTGTGAAAAGAGTTATCATCGTTTTCTAGTAGACGTCTTTTTCTTTAGAATAAAGAATCCTTTTTCTTTTTGTTGTCTCCCCCAATTTTTTTTCTAGGTTTTTCTCTTTGTTTCCTTTATTACGTCACGTTCAAACGAGCTGTTGCATGCATTCGTATGATATGTCCAAGAGTCTCCAAGCAGCTTTCGGATCTAAAACTGATTTGTCTCGCGAGAGTGCCCAAACGTAATTGACTCTCATTACTTTTTGGGGATCCCCGTCTATGACTTTATTATTCTTATCTCGAACGCATTGAATTTGCTGACACGTGAAAGTTATTATTAAAACCGGACCCTGATCCATTATTTTACCAACGGTTAAATCCAAACCTTCAATGTCTAAAATTTTCGAATCCAATTTTCCACCCATGGCTTTGATTTGTTTTATGGGTTGAGAAAGGAGATTGTAGGGACCGTCGTGACACCAGTCCCGCAATATGTCCAAATCTCCTCGAACCATGGCTTCCAATATGTTTGGTATTATATCCGTTTCGCACTGGTGTAAAAATTTAGCTTTCGTGAATCCCGGATCGACTTTTACGATTTCCGTTAGAGTTTCCGATAGTTCCGTGTTTTGAAAAATTCCACCCATTATGTAAGTTACTTTGTCCGTGAATAGTCGACTTAAACGTATCATGGGATTCTCGGATTCTTCGTATTTCAATTTCCAATCCAATATTTTATTAACGTAAGGATTATTATTTTTAAAGTTTTGCCAACTTTCGTAAAATCTAAAAAAAAAAAAAACAGTTCATCGAGTTATTGTTATTATTATTATTATTAAAATAGTTTTTCGATATATGCTTTGATATTCTTTTTGACACCAACTTAGAATCTTTGTGCAATTCGATGTCCATGGTTGTAGCATCCGCAGCATAAACTCTCGTTTCCCCATCGGGTGTTTCTAACCTTTTCCTTAATTTAATGGGAGACACGTAAACTCTAGCTTGTGAACCGCTTTGTTCGAGTTCATCTCTTACGACGGCCGTAGCTTCGGTTATTGTTTTAAATGCATCCGTATCTCCTATCTTTTGACCTTTGGCCGTTAAAGATTCTGCGGCGTCACGTGCAGATTTACCAATTTCTTCTGATAATTTGCCTGAAATTAACAATGACTTTTATAAAAAAAAAGTTTTTTTTTTACATGAAAATGAGTGCTTTTACATGAGTGTGGTTGGTATTCGATGAAAACATAAAATGTTATTGGTGTCACTTGAAAGGGATTAACCTACCTGCTTTTTTGGCTATTTCGCTTTTACTCGCTTCTTCGATAACTCCAGAAACTGTGTCTTTGACTTTTTCTAATTTTGCTTTGAGTAACGATGCTTCACCTTCCACAGTCATGTATTTAGCCCTGGCTTTTTTCAACGCTTCAGACTGTTCCAATTTTTCTGCTTCTTCTCTAAATTTTCTTAAATTTTCTTTCATTTCTTTATTTTTTGCCATTTCTTGTTTGACATTTTCAAAAAACTGACTAAAAAAGTTTGGTTGCCTTCCTGACCTAGCATTTTTTGAATATTTTCGAACATGTTGAATATCTATTTAAATCGATTAAAGACTTTTCTTATTATCATGCGTTTGTACAGTTTTTATAACACATTATTATTGTTATAATTCGAAAAAGAAAAAAAAAACTTTTTTTAAATATATTTGTGCATCTATACCTAAAAAGTTACTCCTAAAATTGTATATTTGTTTGGTACAAACTGTCCTATCTAAATAAATGTATGGACCTTGATGGTGGTTTTGTTGGATGACTGAAAGTCCTCTGGTGGGTTGCTTGGGAGTTAATAATGAAGATCCACTTTCTTGGAATCTTGATCTCCATTTTGTTATTTGAATGTGTCTTTGCAACTGAAATGTAACAAAATATTAACAATTTTCTTATCATTTGTCAATTTAAACTTTGTAACTTTATTATCAGATTCAACACAACAAATATATAAAATGAACACAATTATTAATTTTAAAAACTAAATTTTAAAAGCTTTTTTCTAAAACACAATAAGTACTTTATAACAATGATCAATCGAGAATGTTATTTACATTTTCTCAAAGGGTATAAACTTTTTTTATTATTGCACAACATTGCTTCATTTTAACAACCATAAATGTTGATTGTAATCTTTATTCTCAAAAGTTATTTTTAATCGTAGGTAAAATATTCTTACTTTAAATAAACGAATTAAAACTAGCACAAATTATTCATTTTCAAAAATTTATTTTGACATAACCTATTCTTGTCACAAAATTTTTTTTTCTATTTATTGTTACAACTCAAGTAAATAATAATTTACAAATTCATTTTATTGTTGTGTCGCACGCAATTAAAATACAATAAAAAAAATTTTATTATTAGTAAAACTATTAAATTAAATAATAATAATAATGATTGAAATCAATAAATAAAATGAATACATGAGTAAAATTTATGGGATGCCGTATTAGATGATTTATTTTCAAGTGAATATTAAAACATTTCAAAAAGTTTTTTTGTTTTAACGTTGAATATATAAAAAATTAAATAAGTAATAAAATAAATTCGACCTACCATTAATCGAATTACCAACCGAGTTACTAGTAATTTTTAATATCCCGAAAATCTATCACGATGAGGAAGTGTAAATTTCAGTCCATTGTCGCAATAACGCAACAACGTGAAACGAAGCTTTTTCATTGTCGCCAAAAGTTCAAAATAACCAGAGCGCGTTGAGTTGCAACAGATTTCGGTTTTCTTTTTTTGTGAAAGTGAAATGTTTAATCGTTTTTAGTGAATCCGAGATATTAACGGATGAATTAGACTGAATAATGTTTTATTATTATAATTTCATGTTAATGCATCGTATTTAATTAATGGTTAGTATGAATAACAACAACAAATATTAAAAAAATAATTTATTTATGTAGTATTAAATTATTAAGTAAAATTACAAAAAGAAATATATTAATAATAATAATTAAGGAATGGTGACTGGCAAGAAAAGTCTACTATCCCCTACTTTAGGTTGAAATCTAAGATTTACTCTTCTATCATCATCTTCAGTACCAACTTCCAAAAAGCTATTCCAATCAAATAAAAGATATAAACCATTGGGCTTTTTTGGTGGTAATGAACTATCAACATCTTCACTATCATCAGCAGTTTCTCCTCCTCCAAAAGAATCTTTAAGTGCTTCTAAATTAGAATCAGCTTCAGCAGTTGAATTATTTGATAAATCTGTATTTTCAGATTCAGTAACAGTTCCTGATTCATCACTTGCTGTATCAGGAGATAAAGTTGTCATTGTATCTCCACCATTTTCACTATCACTATCATCATCAGAAGCAGAAGAAGAAGCAGAGGATGTATCAGTGGCATTGTCTTGTCTTTTAACATCAGTTTTTAATAAAGTCTCATCAGTAAGTACTAATGGATCAGGTCCATCAAATAATTTAGTGACTCTTCTTGCTATTCTAGGTTTAGTTGTTTCTGATATTTTTTCCCAAACCATTTTTTTAATTTGATTATTTATTTTTTGTAAATTATCAGTATCACGTTTGAAAGTATTGAGTTGTTTAACTTTTTCTGTTATTTCACTTTGAACATCAGGTGTTAAAGATTTTGATTTATTTATTGTTGTTTTAATTGATGTTAAAATTGCATTTAATTTTTCTATATCTTCATTTGATTTTGGCACACTATGATTGCTTGGTTTGAAAACATGGATTGTCATAAATGGTACATCATTTTTCTCTCTAACCTTAAGCAAACCCATATCCTCAAGAACTAATTTTAAATCATCTGGTAAGAAATTAAGTTGTCCCTCTGATATTTCATCACCTCTGATTGATTTTTTTGAATCATTTTCATTGATTGATTTTTTTGAATCATTTTCTTTGATTGATTTTGTATATCTCACATCATCTGGATAAAGACCAAATGATTTTAAAAATGTTTTCATGTCTTCTGTTAATGATTTATCATCATTTTTTACATTCAATGACAATGGTTTAAATACAGAATAAGATTTTGCATCTATTATAGGATGTATTATTTTTTTAACTTGTAAAACATTTTTCTCATTTTTTTCTCCTACTTTATCATCATTATTATCATTATCTTTATTTAATCCAAGTTCAAAAATAAATTTTTTCATGTCTTTAGGCAACGTATCGATAACTTGATCGATTTCTTTCGTTTTTTCTATACTTTCAATTATTTTTTTATTTTTTTTTGAATTTGATTTTTTTTCATCATTTATTTGTTCGATAATATCGAGTTCTAATGGTTCGTTATTATTATTATTATTATTATTATTATTATTATTATTATTATTATTATTTTGTTTAGAATCGTGACTTATCCAATCTTCGTTGTCATCATCATCGTTGTATTTAACAGGTTTAGAATATACCAAAACAGGATTGTCAAATTTTTGTGTTACTTGTTCTGGATTTATATAATTTGTATATGATTTTGTTACATCTTCGAAAGTTTCTGTCGTCGTTTCGACAGGAATGGAAAAACTATCTGCGTATATTTCTTTAGAATTAAATTCAGTCGTTCCGACATCATCTTTTCTTCTCGTTACGTTTGGTATTTCATCTGAAATTATAAAATTTTTTAATATTTTCGAATCTTTTTTTAAGAGGGGGGTGAGGGGGGAAGAAAATCATTACCTTTGTAACTGCTACCATCGGATTCTAAATCTTTAACTGTATCGATCATTTTAACAAATGGTTTTTTCGTATAAAGTTCATTTATATTTTTTTTATTTTCACCCTTAAATGGTAAAACGACAACCAATGATCTATCGCCATTTTCTCTAGCAGTATTTTTTTTATTTTCTATTATCGTTTCGTCATCGTACTCGTCGCCATCGTCGTAAATGAGTGACGTCATCGTTGTATAATCTTCAATATTTTCTTTGAAATCATTTTCGTTTGTTTTTTTACTTTTTTCTGTTTGTTTTTTTTTTTTTTTTTTTTTATTAAATGTAAAAAAAAGAAAATATTTATTTCGTTTGAAATTTAATATTCGTAAACAAAATAATAATAATAATAATGAAAAAAAATTTTTTTTTTTATTCAAACTCACCTGTTTGTGAATTTTGATATTTTTTCGAATCATTTTCAAATTTATTATTATTATTATTAACTGGAGTTTTATATGGTAAAGCTCGAATTGGATTTAATATCAGTGGCGAAATTAAACCATCTGAAATAAAATAATAATAATAATAATAATTAATAAATTATTAAGCAAAATAGTTTGAAAAGTTTCCTAAAGGGTAAAACTTTTATTATTATTATTAATAAAAAAATTTGCTTTTGTTTGCGTTTAAAAATTTTACTGTAAACGCATAAAAGGTTTTTTTTACAAAATTGTTTTCGTTTGTATTCCTTTTTATAAAAGGAAAAAATAAATTTAAACAAACAAACAAAAAAAAAGGGTTTGAAATGTTTTTTAGGTAAAAATATTATTTGATTACGATAAAATTTGTTTGTTTTATATTTGATAATAATAATAATAATAATAATAACAAATAGACACTGACAGTACTGTGGCAGACAACAAACCGGATATCATTCTTAATTTTGAAAAATGGTGTAAATTACTTGAAGTAACTGGAGAAAAAACATCAGTCAGCCAAAGAAGTGGACGACAAAAGGCCGAAGAAATTTGGAAATAGAAATAGTATCTAGGATGTGGGGAGTAGAAACAGAAACTATTTCAGTAATCTTGGGAGCATTGGGAGCCATGCCACATTCAATAAAAGGAAATTTAAAGAAGATTTTGAAGAACTTAAAAGAAGAAACCATCCAGGAAATCGCATTATGTGGAACAGCCGCCCATATTCTTCGAAGGCAACAGCACTATGGATTCAAGAAAGGACCTGGAATGAATGTTTAAAAACTCCAACAAGTACACAAAATCCTGTCGTGTTTAAGAATGAAATAATAATAATAATAAAACCATGCTGGATACACCGATTCTAATTTGTTCATTCAAGTTAAACATTTAAAACACTAAAAAGAAGGCAAAGAAGGTACCAAAACAATTCCAGTTCTTCTTCTATCTACCTCGAAGACAACTTTTCCAGATCCTGATAACAGATTTTGTTATCACGGGAGCTCAATTCAGAAGTAAGATGAATTCAGGTCATAAAAAGACAAAACTTGTTCAACCATCACCAACACTCAGGCATTTATTTCTAAGGGATAAGGATAAAAACGTAAAATAAAATGTTATGGAAAATTCCGACGAGAACGAATTGCCACAATTTAAAAAATGAAACATAATAATAATAATGATAATGATAATGATAATAAGAAAGAATTACGTAACGTTTTATTTCGGGTAAAAAATTCGTCGAATATTTTATTTTAAAATCAATCATTAAATATTATCAATGATACTAATGATAACAGGGGGTTTACTTGCCACGCCTATCGTACTGATAAACCTTGCATTGTTTACTGTATTGATAAACCTTGACGCGTACCTTAAAAATTTATTTATTTATTATTAAGGTTTGCGAATTCGTTTTTTTTTTTTTTTTTTTTTTAATATTTAATTATTATTATTATTATTTTTTAAAACGAATTCTTACCGAATCGAATGACGACAACAACCACCACCACCAGTGTTACCTACCTTGTTTGTTAGCCTCATTTATGTCGAACCGGTTGGCAATGGACTCTTTTTTCGATTCGAATTTTTTACCGTAAAAAAAAGGTTTCGATCTTTGATCTAAGTTTTTCAAATTGAATTTAACACGTTTCGACGATTCGGATTTTTTAATTATTACGTTAATTAACGTTGATGATGAAATTTTATTAGTTGTCGTTTCGAAATATTCTAAACCGTTCTTTAACGACGATGATGATGATGATGATGATGATGACAATGACGTTTGATTTACGTGCGTTGAAGTAGGTGCGCCGATGACGATTCCAACTAATGATAATAATAATACTAATAACTAAAAGAAAGAAAAAAAAAAAAAGAAAATTATTATCAAGACGTGAAAGTAAAAGTAAGTTTTGATAATAATCATAACACGATAAAAATTAACTAATTTTATTATTATTATTATTATTCATGTTTAAGTAAGAAAGTTGTAGTAAAAGTGGTTTTGGCATTTTCGAAGGTCAGTTTTTTTTTTTTTTTATTCATCTTGTTACTTACTATGAAATAGTGAAAAAAAAAAAAAAACTTTCGATAAAACGTTATATTTAAATTAACGACAACAACGAAAAGCAATAATAATGATAATAATAATAATAATAATAATAATAATAATAATAATAATAATAATAATAATAATAATAGAGTCTAATTAAGGAAAATAATTTTTTTTTTTCATCTTCTTCTTTTTTTTTTTTGATTTTAAAATTTAATTAATTCAAAAGTAATTTAATTGAAATCTTTTTTTTTTTTTTTTGATAAAAAATTATGAAAAGAAATTTTAAAAAGAAAAAAAAAGAAAAAAGTTATGAAAAAAATCATAACACAAACGAGAATAATAAAAAAAAATGGCGGAAAAAAAATTACGATGAGTTATAAAAGAAACAAAAACAAAAAAAAATTCTGAAAAAAAGAGGAAATTACTATTATTATCATCATCATCATCATCATCATCATCATCATCATCATCATCATTAAAATAATTTACGAAATAAATAAATAAATAAAAAAGCTCCCGAAAAAATAAATAATAATAATAATAATGATGATGATGAAAATTAAAAAAAAAAAAAAAAAAAAAGAAAAAGTTTTTAGGAGCCCAAAAATTTACAACAAACAAAATAAATCATTCGGATCAAATTCAAACACGTTTTAAACTTTTATCCGCCATTTTTTTTCGGGGGAGGGAGAGTGGAGGGTAGGAGGAGGTGGAAAATAAATAAATAAATAAAATTTTAAACTTTTAAAAAAAATTTTCCGTTACGAAAAAAAAATTATTTGAAATTATAAAAAATTTTAAATGAGGAACGTGTGTGTGTGTGCGTGCGTGCGTAAAGGGAAACACGTGTGCGTGTGCGTAAAAGGAAACACGTGGGCGTGCGCAAAAAAAAAATTTTCCAGAATTTTCCGACTAATTTTTTTTTTTTTATGAAGTAATAAATAAATTAATTTTATTGAAATAATAATAATAATAGGTTAAGGGGTTTGAAAATTAAAAAATAAACAAAATAAAAAATGGCGGAAAACATAAAACCCAAGCAATTAGTTTAAATGAAACGGGAAATTTTTATTTTTTTTTATCCGAAAACTAAATAAAGATTATAATTCTGGAAAATTTTTTTCCTTCTTTTTTTTTTTTTGTTTTGTTTTCTTCATAAATTGAGTTTCCATCCTATTAAGATCCACATCAATCGTAGAGAGAGTGAGTTATTAAAAAGGAAAAAAAAAAAAAGGAAAAAAGGAAAAACCTATTACGAAGGGTAACGTTGATAGTGTTGATGGTAGTAAAAATGATCGTGGCGGTGGTGGTGGTAGTAGTGGAGGGTGGATACTTAAAAGGGATGATTCTTACAGTCGAAATACCACGTCTTATACATTAAACGTTAACAAAGTTGTTGTTGTTTGTTATTGTTTGTTGTCTATCTCTTTCTCTCTCTCTTACCATTTTCATTTTCCCTTCCATTTTTTCTTCCATTACTTTTATCTCATTACATTTTCTGGAATAAAAAAAAAAAAAAAAAATCAAAATAAATTTAAAGCCCTTTTGTCCCCTCGCTCCTCCCCAACTTTTCCCCCTCTCTCTCTCTCTTCATCCGTATCTTTTCCATCGTTTTGTTCTAATGGCTAATTTAATTAAAAAAAAAAAAAAAAAAAAAGGAAAAAAAAGTGTCGAAATTATTTTTAATTTATGTGATAGTTTCACTTTTTTTTTCTTCTTCTTCTAAACGAGTTTTTTTGTTAAATAAAAACAAACAAAAAAATTATCTAAACTTTTCTAACAAACAAACGTTATATCCCTTTAAGAAAGAGAGAGAGAGAGAGAGAGAGAGAGAGATTGAGAGAGAGTATATAGAGAAATACAAAAAAAAAAAAACAAGAAAATATTTCAAAAGTTTTTTGTTGTTGTTGTTCTTGTTGAAAAATATACCACAAACCAAAAGATTTTTAATTTAAATAAAACCTAACAAACAAATCGAATTAAAAAAAAACGTTTGTCGTTTGTTTATTATTATTAATAAATTTTATTAAGTATGTAGAGTAAAGGAAAACAAACGAATCAATTTTTTTTTTTTTTTTTTTTTTTTGTATAAAACGGAAACGGTAAAATTTTATATAAAATTCTTTTGTTCTTATTGTTTTCAGGTACGTTTGATCGACGGAATAAAATCTTAAGAAAGGAAAAAAAACGGTTTAATAAATTGTTATTCGATGCACGCAAGTTTGTCGCCGTTTGTTGTTTAAAATACGCAAACGGATTAACAACCGCACAAAAATAATAAGGTAGGAATTCTTTTTAAATTTTTTTTTTTTAAAAAAAAAAAAAAAGTGTAACGACAATTAAAATTCAAATATCGATACCCGCGTTTATTAATATTTAATAATAATAATAATAAAAAAAAACGCCCGCGTTACACAAAAAACGCAACGGGAACCCCGACCTATACGTAAACGTAATAAAATTAAAACAATTTTCGAACACGAATATTTCGCCATTTTTTCTCTCTCTCTCTCTCTCTCTCTATTTAACTTACGGGTAATAATTTATTATTACGTTTAAACACGGATATATTTAAATTTTTTTCGCGCCAAAAATTTTTTTCCGTTTCCTTTTTTTACCTCATCATCATTTTTCGAAAATGATAACTATTATAACAATTATTCCTAATATTATTATTATCGTTTTTACCGTTTTCACGCATTTAATTGATTTT